TTTAAGCACCGGCACCGTTTCAAAAGTACCGGTTTGGCACCGGTATCGGATAAAACCTAAACGATACCCATCCCTAGTAATAAGAAAAGGTGTCGATGTTGTGGTACCTCAGAAGCTACTGAAAAAAGCATACATGGAATAACATTTTAAGGTCATCTTTTCAAACAGCTCAACAAATACCATCAAACAAAAGATTTTAATATGTGTACTTTGTTACTGCATCATTGTAACTCATGTAAAAGTGCTATTTTTACCAGAAGGAAAAAATATGTTAATGTCATGGTAATGTGATGGACACTCAACGGAGAGGTGTAAGAAAGACAGGACATGAGAGGAAGTTAAGATTTTATTTTGAAAGGTAAGGATTGCTCAACAAGTGAGATTTGATCATCTGGAAAAGTTAAATTTAATTTATATTATATAATTACATCTATATGTACTGTTGCATTATGTTTTTGTTAATTATCTTTCAAAACTAACTGAAGCACACAAATCTTTGTGTCATTCGAGGATTGCGTGAAAAACGGGGCCGTTTAATACAGGCTGCACTGACTGGTTTGCAGTATTTACAATTTCATTTGCTGCACTATTTTGCACCATATTATCATCATAATTCTTTTCTCAGCATTTCCAAGTTTAACCCCGATCATGGGTGTAAAGCTTCAAATTCCTCAAACAATGTACGGAAAGTAGGGGAGGGGCTGGTTGCATCGAGCGATTTGATTGGTCAGTTCAGCATCAGTAATGTTTTTATGTGAGTCAGAATTGTTTTGTGTCTAAAGAAAAAAAGGCTTGATTAGAAGCTAACAGAGTTGACCTCGCTGACTCTTGCTGCACTTAGAAAGTGTTGAGGTGTGCCGACACTGATAAGTAAATAAAATAAATAACCCATTATGCGTTGGCCTCACCGGTTTCTCTGGGACAGTTGACAGGTGTTGGACTCTTGGCCTGGATGGCGGTGCAGGGAGGCGTATGAAAGCTGGTGCTTTCTGCCAGAGGACGACTCGTCTTGCTGACTGGCTGCAGAAGGACTTTATACTTACAGGAGAAGAGTAAGCCCTGCAGGCTGATAAAGCTCTCCTAGATTAGACAGACAGGATGTGAGCATGGCTGACTGCAGACTGATTCCCAATTTCAGATTACTGCAACTCTCATTTCACAGCAGGCAAGGCAAAGACTAAAATCACCTGTTCACGATGCATACGTTGTCTCGTCTTATCAATAACAAGATTAATAAAAGCAGTCCTTTTTATCTGTACCACCCATGTGATGCGTTTCAACTCTGTTTTATTTTGGCTATGGAAATGAAATACTTTCACCTCCATGATCAGAATGATGCTCATTTATTTGAATAGGGTTACCTTTGTACTGGTCTTCTGCACAGGGCTGGTCTGGTTGTGTCCGCAGGATTCAGGTCCCCACTGGACTCTGTAGAATTCAACCAAAGGATCTGCACACAAGAAGCCATTAAGAGAAGAAGCAATGTTTATGTTGAGTCCTGCACTTTGTTCATTAGCTGTATTATACTGTTATGTCCACACAACCTTTAAAGTGTTTTTCTTCTTTGAACCTGCTTTTTGAAACCAGTTATAGACACAGATCATCTCAGAATTGTTTTGCTATGTCGCTTTTTCCCTCAAGCTTCCTTTGAGTGCTTTTATGGAGGTTGTTAGGATGAGAGTTTACCCACCGTAAGGATCCACCAGCTGTTATTAATAATATCTGACAAGGTGACAAGATTTAAATACTCATTCATGAGATCCAATATGGTGTCTCAGTCCAGCCCGGAGCTCACTCCAGTTTCTGCTTTATCACATTATATTATTATATTTATTATTATATTTATTATTATATTTAAACAACCAGAAGAGTCTATTCAGTGACAGGTTGCTTCTCCCAAAGACAAGAACCAACAGACTTAAAAACTCCTTTGTCCCACACGCCATCA